TTAAGTAAAATTCACATGAAATTTTTGGCGCCGTTGTCGAGGATTAGCAACTTTGCTAATCCCTTGTTATTTCTTTTTATATATTTTCGTGTCTTTTGTTTTTAGTTACTTTGTTTCTGTTTGTGTTTTTTTTTTTTTTTTTTTTTTGATATTTGATTTAGTTTTGTTTCCTTGATTTCAGGTACTAGAGAAGTAAGACATGGATTTTGCTACCATTCAAGCTCAATTGGTGAAACTTACTTCTCAATTGTCATAATATCCCGAAAGAACCACAATGCAAAGTGTCCCTACATATGGTGTGTCCTATGGGCAAGGATATCCAACTCATCAAGATTCTCAATTCGTTGCGAATGAAGATGCTTGGGGTTATCAAGGCCATAGCCAATCATGGGACAACATGTTTTCCAACGCTTACAATTCGGATTGGAGAGATTATTCAGATTACATGTGGGGAGAACCTCAACAATTCCAACAAGATGGATATTGGCAGCAAGAAGAGGAGGTCTATTCAAGACAGTTGCATGTGTAATTCATAAGTAATTGGTAAATCTACATAAGATTGTTAAGGGGACGGCGGAACCCTAGGTTTTTACAATTTGGTTTTCAAAACTCTTTTCTTTTGTTTTCTTTACTTTGTCAATTTATTTCATTATTTTTAATTAAATTCGTTTTTAATATTTTAGGTCATTAAATCATTCTCTTCTAAACTTTGTTTTCAAATAATTAATTAAGATTTGGTATTTACATAAATTATTCATTCAATCCCTGCGGAAAACGACCTTACTTGAGCCGTTTATACTACAACTACCTTGTTCTTTTGCAAGTATTTTTAAGTGTTTTTATCCCTACTTTTGCAGGTGGTAAAAATCTCTATCACTGGCCTTGTGTCTCTAGAAGCACAATGAAGATTAACTGTAGTAACGTTGCACATTAATATTTTCTATGATTGTCAACTTAAAGTCCTTTAATTTTGTGATACAAGCAAATCATTCATTTTTTGCACATCATCTAGTCATCCATATGAATCAAAGAAAATGGTATATCATAAGGATATACCTATAACTATAATTTTCGATTTATTCGACACATTTACATTTAGCTAAATAGTCTCTAAATCAAATGAATTTTTTCTAAAAATTAATGATTTTAAATAAAGACAAAAGAATAAACAGTTCCAATTATTCTCATTGCATAGAACTCTTTAAAAAAAAAATTTGTGTACATTCATTCTTGAGAAGTTACAATAGTAGACCAACATATAATTGGGTGAAAGAAAATGCCAAGCTATCTCAAGTCATATTTTATTCTAAATAATTAAAATTAACTTAAGTGGGTTTAAAGGATACGCTTAGCGCTTCTAACTCTGAAATAACAAGATATATTTGGGGAAAACTTCAATTAAAAGAATAAAAATGTTATTTTTATCACATTTTTCAAATCATATTTGTACTATTTTTCTAATATAAGTGGGACTCAATTGTATTGGTGGCCCAATCTTTATTAGACAGGTGAAACAAATGTAATATAAAAATAGAAAGGGGTTTTTAAACTTTAATCCTTCAGGAAGATTGAAATTTAAAATAAACCTAGATTACATATTGATTATAATCCCTTGATGTGTCCTTAATTCAAAATAATTAATGTGCATTTTATTTAATATCTCCCATTAAATATTTAAATTTGTTAGTATACAAATTTTAATTTACTTTTTGACCAAAAAAGAGTTTTTTAATTTATTAATTTTATTTAACATTCTTCAAACTTGAGAGACTCAATTAATGTACCTAAATGTTAGTACCCAAATGTATTATATTGAACTAATGTATTTAAATGTTAGTACCGAAATATACGCACCAAAATGTATTATATTAAATTAATGTACCTAAATGTGTATACCAAAATGTATGCACCGAAATGTTAGTACCAAAATGTAGTATATCGAATTAATGTACCTAAATGTTTGTATCGAAATATATGTACCGAAATGAGTGTACCTAAATGTATGCACCGAAATCTATTATAATGAATTTAATGTAACTAAATGAAAAAGACTAAGTACATCAAAATATACTGTATAACAAAAATTAGTTTATCTAAATATTTACAACAAAATATATTACGATAAACGAAATGAAAATGAAATAAAATTAATACATTAAAAATTAGGAAGAAAAAGAGAAATAATTAAAAAACTAAAAATTAATAAATGAGGTTATTAATGTATCAAGGGACTAAAATTAGATTTTAATCTAAAAATCATCTTTGTTAAGGATTAAAATGAAGTTTTCTATTTTAGCAAATATAGCATTACTCCAAAAGAAAAGATAATGAAAATTAATATATAGAAAGACCAATCACCTTCATTACACAGTAATGAATTTCCATTGCGTGGCCTTTGACATGAAGCCTTTAACAACCCTATATTAGCAACTACAGATGATTCCTGCTTCTATTGCTTTTTGCTCAAAAACTCAAAGTTTGCTATTTTTGGTTGTCTCATCTCTTGATTGAGCCCAAAGGGAAGATTTATAGCAAAGTCGACTAATAAGACAACCATTATAAAATGAATAAAAAAGTAGCAATACCACTAACGACCAAGTTTTATTTGAAACAAATGGATTCAGATAGCAAGGATTCAGTCTTCAGATAACAGAGTTCACTTAATTGGTTTATTAATTAAGTTATGATGTCATATATACATGAATTGGCCATAGACTATAGGAAGACTTGACCTTTTATTTCTTTATGTGCGTGTGTGAATTCATGATCACATGTGTGTGTGTGTGACTTTGAATAGTCTTTCCCAAGTATTTTAACTCCCACAGTAGTGTTTTCTTGTTGAAAAGACTTGTTGAATGATTCAGTCAATGGAAAGAAAAAGTATCACGATTACGATGCACAAGCTTTTATATTTTCTTTAGCTAGAGATGATAATTGATATCTATTACCAACTGCAATACAATAAACTTTGAGTCGCTAAATTTGTTCACCAAATAATTTTTGAAAGGGTTAACATTTGGACGTACATCCTCTTTCATTTTGCATTGATCCTAAGGTTTAATTAAGCTAAGAGCATCTAGGATTTTGAAACTAACTAGCTGATAGGTTGTTTAGTATTAATTTGTAAATTATGTTATTGTAATTACGAATTTATTGATCAGTTATTTTTTAGTTGTGAGTTTGCACAATGTACATGTTCTAATTTGATCAGTTGATTTTGTCTTGCTACTCTATTTAGCATTGTTCTTACACTTAATGTTAGCTCTTTCTCGAATTTCGAACTTGCTTTCCTATCGATTAGTTTTTCTTCACAACTTCGCAATGTTTAGTTGATTCTTGGATTTTTCTTACTATTGGATATCTAAAATGTGTAATAAGTTGAAGTTGAAAATAGATCTCATTCTTTTTCATGCCTTTGTTGTTCTACTTTGGCTTGAATCAGGCAAGTTGGAGTTTTTTCTCTTAGTTATACCTGCAATGTTTTAGATAAAACAAAAACGTTTTTAACCATTTTAAAAGTATTTCCAAACAAACCTTATAACAAGGATTCAGTTTCGGACAGCAGAGTTCACTTAACTGATTTATTTATTAATTTATGATTATGTCATATGTACATGAATTGGCCATAGGCTATAGGAAGACTTGACCTTTTTTTTTTTTTATCTGCATGTGTGAATTCATTATCACATGTATGTGTGACTTTGATTGGTCTTTCCCAAGTTTTTTAAGTCCCACAATAGTGACTTGTTGTTCAATCACAATATTGCAGACTTATTCAGTCAAGCCACAAATCCACAATAGTGACTTGTTTATCTGCACAAGCCTTTTGTATTTTCTTTAGCTAGAGATGATAATTGATAGCTATTACAAACTACAATACAATAAATTGAGTCCTTAAATTTGTTCACCAAATAATTTTTCATGCGTCTAACATTTGGACATGTATCCTCTTCTGTTTTGCATTGACCAAGGTTTAATTACACAAATTCACAGTGAAAAAAAAAAGTATAACAATTAATCTGCAAATTATGTTATCATAATTCTGAATTTATAGATTACTTGTTTTTTTAGTTGTGAGTTTGCACAAGGTACTTGATTTTATCTTGCTACTCAATTTGGCGTTGTTCTTCCGGTTATTGTTAGTTCTTTCTCGAATTTCTGACTTACTATTGTATGAAGGGGTTTTCTCCACAACTTCATAATGTTTAGCTGACTGTTGAAGTTTTCTTATTGTTGGATATTTAAAAATACGTAATAAATTGAAGTTTGAAAATAGCTAGGTCTCTTTCTTTTGCATGCCTTTCTTGTTCTAATTTGGCTTGGATCAGGCAAGCTTGATTTTTTTTTCTTAGTCCTGTCTCTGCAATGTTTTGGATAAAACAAATATAATCTGTCTTAAATCTCAATTGAGGTGTGTTAAGCTTCTACTATTGCTCTAGTTCTTTCACATCCTCCTTCATATCCTTGGGGCTTGCTAAGGCTAACTCAGGTCCTGCAACTTGTGGCGCGGTTTTTCGTTATTCTACGGGTTATTTTTTAATGGTCTCTTCTATAGTTTTGCGCATTATAGGATTAACAAAATATGTGGCTTAAAAACGGCTCTTTTAGTGCGACCTTTTGCTTTGTTTTTTACTCTTTTTCATCTCCTTTGCCATTTCACACTCATTGGAAAAATTGCATTTCCCTATTGTAGCATATGATTTTCCATCGTTCTCATATATTTTGAGATGCAGTTGCCAACATATAATTGCTTTTTTTTTTTAATTTATAGGTAAGTTAATTATTCTTTTCTGATTTGTTGTGAAAGTAAGTTAATTGTTCAATCATGTTATTATCCTTTTTCATTACTCGGGTATATTTTCCTGGGCTGCCAATATATATACACACAAGACACACTAGGTCTAAGCCCTGTTATAAGTTTGCATCGTATCATCCTTCAATATATAAGATTTTGCTATTATATTAAATTGAAAGGAAAAAAAAACATATTTATGAGACGCTGTCATGAAATACTTCTAACTTCCTCACTGCATAAAACACTAACAATTGATTATTTATTATACATGTCTGCATACTAAAGAAGCTACAGTAACCAAATTACACTTGCAAATTACCATAAACACAAATATCTAAGAAAAGAGGGAGAGAAGACAATCCATCATACAGAGTCCACACCACACAGCTTATCTCTTAATTAAAAAGCATAAATTATGTTTAATCAACCAGTAGAGCCAGTCTTTCTTGTTGTAGCTTTTGCATCTCCGTTACTTTGCTTGCCATTTTTCTGATCAGTCTTTGAGCTGCTGATTTCATCAGAAACATTCTGCTCTCTCGATGTCGTCGTCCCATTGATTTTCCCACCGCCCCCTTTGCTGATCCCTGGCCTGCTTTTAGCTCCACATCTTATGATAAGAAAACAATAAGTATTTAATCAAAAAGCTAGAGACAAAGTATACTATCTTTACCAAGGAAATATCAAATTAAATAGCAATAAATATATACATATATATATTTTGTCCAATATAAACAAATGTAATACTAATTTTATGCATGTAAATTATGATGAAACCACCATACATTATGGAGCGACTAATATTCCTTCTGTTGGCGTGCATATGGTCGTGATGCGTGATCTGCAGCCTGCATATATATATAGTCCAATTCAATCATATATATGATATAATTGGCAACACAATCAACAAATTAACTAGCGATTTCTATTTATTTCAAATATATAAAGATAATTAAACAAACAAATTAAGTTACATTCGATCACTTACATATTCAAGGATCGATGACGGTAGGACTCGCAACTGGGAATTTGGACGATGTTGGTTTTTGGCAGGACGATGAATCCATGCACAGTTAGAGCCATGATCTCAGTAATTCAGAGTGATCAGTTTACTAACTGCGTGTGGGTTTCTTAGTAAGAACAAAAGTCCGAGGTTTATATAGAGTGAGAAATGAGAATGCATGGCAACTTGTACTATTATAATATTATTAAAGCTTTGATTCTGCATTATTTTTCCCCTTTTCTCTTTTGATCCCTATAGGCTATAGTGACATAAGAGATAAAGGTTTGTATAGTCTTTGTCCATGATTGAGTTGGGTTATACATATGACTCCGTCAAAGTCTTTGGACACGTATTTTGAAATGGATCGAATATCCATGTGACCATATATTACATTTAATTGACTCAAATAAAGAGCTACTGAATCAATATCGAAAACTTAGTAATCGTCTGATAGTGAGCAAAAAAATTATCTTTTTTTTTTTTTTTTGCTAAATAAGAATCATAGGATGTATAGGACTTATAATCATTAAGGGTAGGGAGATTAAATTTCTAAATTAAATTTTGTAAACTAAATGATGTGGTTGTTGATAATTGAATTATTACTTAAATGTTGATTAACATGTTTTTTCTTATTAGTAACATATTATTTAGTTTATAAATTTAATTTAAAATTTTAGTCTCTCTACCATTAACTCACCGTTAAACACTTTCAAATGTTCTTTGTAGTAATGGTCTTCCCGCTTTATTTTAGTCTATATTTCTTAGGGCATTCAAAGGGAAGGATCGAGGTGGGCTTTACCTAAAAAAAATCATGGTTATGAAACACCGATCAATACCCTCTTCAATAAATGTAGCTCTTATTCTCGGTGGTTATACACTCGATTTAAATTAGTTTTCTCTTTGTCTAGACTCTGTCTAGTCTTTTAGACTTGTATAAACTCTAATTAAATACTAAACGTAAAGCCAAAAAAGCTATTAGAATGCAAATATTTGACTTGAAATTCAATTGACAATATAAAAAATAGTTCGGCTTTCTATAATTCATGTAAAATATTTTAATTTTTTGACGTGAAACATTCTTCATTCACAATAACGTTATTTCTAGACATAAGTATGACACGAGAAACGAACAGACTAGCTTTGATACCATATACTGAAAAGCATTACCCAAAAACTTATTTTATCAAATACTATTCAGTGTGATCGAGATATTTTGTCCTGATAATTAGCGAGTCCTTGTTCTTAATTGGCTTCATCTAGTAGTCTCGGTCTTTCCAGCTTCATAAATGAAAACCTACTAATTTGTGAAGGAAATTGAGAAATGGTGCTTCACGCGGTGCATGGGTGTCCACTGTCCTCCCGATATTGACTCTGGCTGCCTTTCGCTCTTTTGTTTTGTTTGAGTCAAATTTCCTTGACGGACATCTAACACAAATAACGAGTGACTTTGACCGTTGGTTTGATTTTAATTTTCTAGGGCTCGTATGTATTCTACCTTTTTGTTAAGGTATTAGCAACAATTAGGGGCCCTCCACATTGTTTCAGGTTTTTCTAATTGAATCATTGTCCCTGCAATGATGAAGATAAACCCCATAGCTTTAAAATATGTAGGGAAAATAAGGGGCTAATACTATATTAAATTATAGAAAATTTCAAAATAATCATGAAGCTACGAAGTGAACATGCAAATTAGGATTAAAAAATCTAAAATTGGTTGAGGAAAAAAGCATTAATAATACTCTGAATTATAAGACTCTGGTGGATTAAGATGTGTTGAACTCTCTCATATTATAAATTTAATGTAAAAAATCACACATCAATTTTGAGAATAAATGACTTAGCTAAAACTCTTCTTTTAACAATTATGCAAGATGACTCTCTATCTAAAAAAAGTCGAGGTGTTGTGGAGCCAAAAATAATCAAGATGCGACACGTGGATTTTTAGGTGAAGAGGACAAAATTGCCCTCGAGACACACCGGGTTTCCTACACGCGAGCAGTGGAGAATCATCCATCAACCGAGTCAAGAGTGCCCAAAATAGGTAACAAGTTCAAATTTATCTCATCCATCTTTACTCCATATCCTCTACAAGGAAACCATTCCATAACCTTCAAAATCTTCCATATAAATTAAATTAATTAGGCTAATTAATGGATTAATTCCTAATTAATCCATTAATCACCAAATTAATCACCATTCACCTATAAAAAGCTCTCCATTCTCTCCCAAAAAGGGGACTTCCAACTCTTGCTAAAATTCTCTAGAATTCTCAAACACTTTTCTCTCTAAATTCTAACTTTGGCATCGGAGGTTCTTCGCCAAAGCCCCCCCCCCATTCATCGTGGGCGCATGAGGTTCTTGGCCTTGACCTAAGGTGTTATTTGTTTTGTAGATGCAATTTTGTCTAAAATCAATGAGGAAGAAATTTGCATCCACAGGTGTCTCTTTCAAAAGAATGTGATCACTCTGAAAAGTAAAAGAGAATAGCTATAATAAACATATTTTAACATTTGGTTTGTAAAAATGATCAATCTTTACTAACGAATACCTATTGATCATATATTGACAACGCAACAATGACATGACGACAACAGAATGACTTATATTGATGACATAATAAACACTATTCAGTTCATAAGTCAAAATATGTTTATAGTAAGTAATTGCTTAAAGTAAAAAGTTTCACCTATTCACTAGAATTTCATGCTTGGTCACACGTATCTCTTCGTAAAAAAATACTCTTTCTAATTTATATTCAATTATAAATTTAATATCTGAATATAATATTATATTTCCATCAAAATCTAGAGGTGGTGGTTGGTTTTCCCAGTTTTTTTTTTTTATCAAACAAGATTACTTACATTAAAAATCAGTACAAGGTCCAAAAAGAGTAAGCAAAACAACAACATATAAAGTACAAAGCTCAAGCAAAATGAGAGCTACAACCCAAGATACTTAGGCTCGAAGGCTGCAAAACAAACAACAAAAAAAACTCTAATGTCAAGCAGTATAAACCAAATCACTGCTGCCGTCACGTCCTCAGAGAAAGCTAAACTCTAGACCAAGAAAGTAGACACCGAATCTAAGTCTCCTTCAGGAATTCTTGTAAATATATACACACAAAATATTTTATGGATAGAAAGTGAAGCTAAGGAGGTAGATAAAATACCCATCAATTTCAGAAATCGCATTATTAGGTTGAAATCACCATAAGCATAGTCACCCTTTTGGTTGGTTTCTTTTTGGCCATTTTTTGTGAAGGTTTATCATCCAAAGGAAGCATGATTCACGTGGGATGTTACGAGATTCATACATCTTCCTCTTTTTCAGAAGCAAAGAACATGTAGGCCCAAAAGGAATTCAAGCTAGCTGGGGAAGTATTATTGTATGCTTGTCACTGGTTAGTGGGAAGAATAAATTATAGAGGGTACTATAATAGTATATACTATGCTGACCAGGACACGCATTCTGCTCGCTATTTCTTTTTTATTCTTATGTTGCGTTTTGTTGCACGGTATTATCTCTAAGTGGATTGTTTGAGTAGATTGGCTACGAGTAGATTAAACAGATTAAACTGAACTGACTTAATAAATCATTTGGTGTAACAACAAACTAAAAAACAAAACAATGGAAAAGGTACTGTCATCAGTTAGTTGTTTTCTCCTTCTTTAGAATCATTTTTTAGCAAGTGCGGCACCGGCTGTCAACCATCCCAACACCAAAAGGGTCCCAAATTAAACATTCAAATGCTTTTTCTTTATTTTTTCCATTTTCTACATATCTCTAGTCTCTCTCAAATATTTCCTAGAAGTACATTTGATTCTTGAAAGTTTGTACTTTTCCCTTAATATCATTTTATTTTAGCGAAACTACTACGTGTGAAGGTTCTAAAAAAACGTTATGCGCTAGTCGGGCGGCTGGCTAACACCTAGCGCCTAGGCAAATTTAGGTAAATTTCTTATATATCTTGTAAATAAGTACATATTAACACTTACAAAAAAATTATTCTTGTATATCTTGGAATAAATATATTATATACCATATAAATTAGTTAAATTTATTTTATAGTAGATGATTAAATATTGAGGAAAATGTTATTTAAAAAAAATATACATATCTAACATAAGAGTATAATATAAGCTGATCTTATTCTGATCATAAAAAGAAAAATAATAAAATAATGTAATGCAAGAGTAATATAGTGTTGTTTTACAAAGAACAAATAATAAAATATTATCTAATAATTTATATAATTTATTTATTAGGAGATAGTGGGTAATTATTGTTTGTCCCTTTATTTTGTGATAAGGCTGGTGGTCTTCACACCAAACTATGCATCTTTTCAGACTTTTCCACTTTCCATCTTCTTCTTCTTCATGCCAAACTAGCCATCTTTTCAGATTTTGATTTGTGGTTTCGTTGTTGCTCGTTCTCTCTTTGTCTTTTTCTTTCCATCTTCTTCTTCTTTCCTGAAAAACTACAAATCAAACATTGAAAATATCTCCCTCTATCCCTCCAAATTAAAACAACTCCTTCAATCCCTTCATCTCTCCACCACACATCTCCCTCTATCCATCACCACGCTTCTCCGTTTTCATGCACAAAAGTCTTGGGTTTGCAATACTGGTCAAATCTAAGATGCCACGCGATGAGATGATCTGGGTTTGCAATTTTCACGGACACTGATCAGAGAGATGAGGAACCATTTACCATGCCGCCTAGCACCACCTAGCACTGCCTAGTGCCGCCTAACGCCGCCTAGTCGGCCGCCTAAACCTTCTCCGTTTTATTGAAAGTTTTGCCCAAAATCGCCACGGAAGCCTACCGCCCAACGCCTAAGCGCCGCCTAGGCCGATTTTTAGAACACTGCGTTTGATAAAGGACATATAAAGAAACAAATCTATCCATGCTCTTTTTTAATATTAAACAATATGTCGAAAATACTCCATTATAACTTTTCAATTACTAAAAACTCAAGAACAACCCTACCCTAATTATTTAGATAGTACACAAAATGAAAATGCTAGTAGTCAAACATGCATATCTTGTTGAGAGTATCATATATCTCATATTGACAAACGTTAGCTTGTGAGTGGTTAGATTATAAGTGAAATGGATTGGTCAGCTCAATAGGTTTTGTTTGTAAGTTTGTTAA